CTACAATAGCCACAACACCCTTGCCCACCTGGAAGCTCTCCTAAGCTGTCCAGGGAGAGCCTGGACCTGCCTCAGTAGGTCAAGGATGTCAGTAGTACAAACAGAGCTTGTATTCACTTTCAGCACCACACACAGACTCACAGGCTTGGCCTAACTTGTGTAGGTCCATAGGTGAGCACACTAGGCCCCTCTGGTGACACCAGACTTCCTCGGACAGAACAGAGTTGATGAGGGCAGGTGAGAACTGTCCACATCCAGACAGCATGCAGGGAGACCTGGGGCTCCTGGTTCCAGAGTCCACAACACAGCTGTCTTCTGGAGACCAGGAGTCTACAGTGACAAGTGGAGAGATCAGCTCACAGAGACAGTTGGCCAGCTGGGGGGAGCCCAGTGCTAGTGAAGAAAGCACGACAGTGTCCCATGTACCCCGGGGGCGGCCACACGGCTTGGAAAGATTCAACATTAACGCTGGCCTTAGGGAATGACTCAGAGCTAGGTACCTGCCCAAAGAGAGCTTCCTAGAACACATTAGGAGGGAGGAGACAACAGGGAGGCCTCAGCAGCCTCATCTTACCTCTTGTGGGGAGCGGAGGAGACAGTGGAAGGGACACAAGCCAAGGTGTCTGGGGTCATTTTGCTCATGTCCCTTTCCTGCCACCTCTCTCCTAAGTCCCCCTGGGATCCTCCCCATGCTATCTTCTGCCTCACCTCTAACACAAAATCCACACACATATCAGCTGACATCTCCCATTCTCACAATGTTTCAATGGTAGTAAAGTAGACCAGTTCAAAATTTGCCACCTTAACCATTTTAGAATGATCTTTTAATTGAAAAAGTAACACATGCCACAGTAAAATTCAAAGCAGTGCTTTATGAATTTGCAGTAAGACACAGCTGAGGACCCCCTGAGGAGCTCGTTCACTGTTGATGGTTCCTATGCAGTGCACATCTGCTATCCCAGCACTTTAGTCTGAAAGTCCGAGGCAGGAGGACTGCTGAAAGTTCAAGGTTAACCTTGAGACTGTCTTTTTTTTTTTTTTTTTAAAGCATACCCAACATTTACCGTTATAATCACATTTTTTGTAGTTTGTTTTAAGACAGTACCTCATATAGCAAATGTGGGCTTTGAACTTCTACATCTCCTATGTGGGACTGCAGCTTACCACCACCCCACCCCCACTCCCATCCCCACCCTTCTTTTTTTAAAAACAGGGTTTTTCTGTGTAGCCCTGGATGTCCTAGAATTCGCCCTGTAAACCTGGTTGGCCTTGAACTCAGGTAGATCCGCCTGCCCCTGCCTTCTGAGCATTGGGGCTAACAGTGTATGCCACCACACTGGCCACTGTAACTACTTTTAAGTGTGTAGTTCATGGCATTAAGCTCAGGATCATTATGTTCCTCTCCAGAACACTGTCATCATCCCAAACTAAAATTTTTTCCCACTATGTATCTCCCCCACCCCTCCTCAGGCACCTGTTCCATCTCCTACATCTACCTATCTGCCTACTCCAGGGACCTCACATGAATGAATGGAAGCACATGGTTCTTTTGACTGGCTTATTTCATTCTGCCTCTGAGTTCATCATCTGCAGCATGTGCCACAGTTTTCTTCCCTTTTGAGGCCTCGCAATAGTCCATTCACTGCATGGCAGAACACATCTGTCTAGTCACTCATCCATTCACAGTCACATTCTTATGCACAAAGATTTTGATTTACAAGTGCAAGCTGTCTGGTTTCCCTTTGCTCATCACTGACAGGTAGAATGTCATGGATTTCTGAGCCCCCCTCCCTGGGAGTTTTAAACCTTGGCTCTTATGCCCAGGCCTCTGATCCATTTGAATTAATTTTGTGTTTGGTACCTGGCAAGGCTCCAGCCTCATTCTTTTGCTGTAGATACCCACGGCCCCTGAGATGCCTTACAGTGAGAAGAGGCCAAAGCCCCAACTCCACCCCACAGCAGAACATCATGACCTGCTTTTGCTCCACTGGCCTCACTTCCAGCTGTTTGGGCCAGAAAATCTGGGCAATACTCTGACTCTATGTCTTTCAGGCTTAACTTTACAGGAGCCTGCTGCAACCCTTCACAGAGCCTGGCTGAGAGTGTGCATGAATGCCCAAGATGTTCTCAGGATGGCTGAGGCCACCGCTGGTAGTAAGGTAAACTCTGTGAGGGGTTAAAGAGCTAGCTCAGTGGGTAAAGTGCCTCACACACAAGCACCAAGGACCTGAATTCAGACCCCAGTACCCCCATAAAAGCCAGGGTGCACATCTACAATCTCAGTTCTTGGGGAGGGAGGCAGAATAAAAAAGGTAGATAGTAGAGGAAGACAGCCCACAACTGTGAGTGAGGGGCATGCATGTATGTTCACACAAATAGGTATGATGGTGGGGGTGGGGTGGTGTCACACAGCCTGGGGGGCGGTCAGAGGACAACTTTTGTAGAGTCACTTCTCTCCTACTTTTAGGTGGATACTGAGATTGAACTCAGGTCTTCAGACTTGCATCATCCAACAGCAAACACCTTTATCTGTTCTGAGTCCACTGTGGTGGCTTGGTAACTATCCTCCCAGCACTTGAGAGGATGAGGTAGGGTGATAGGCTAGGGGTTTCAAGTGAGGTTAGGCTATACAGTAAGACTCTCAAAAAGACTGAGAAAGAGGCAGGAGTGGAAAGTGTCTTGGGAAAACTCAAATGCAGAAAAAGACAGCCAGGTAGAGAACTTTGACAGCCTTAGCACCATCCACCAGGGCCACCCTTGCTTCACCTCTGTCCATCCTGGAAGTCACTTTGACCTTGGCCTTGCATCTCTCATTCCTCAGCAACTCTAGCTGCCCCAAGCAAACACACAGGCACTTGGAAGGTCTGGTCAACAAAGTGCTCAGGCCGTTATCCAGCACAAGGAAGGCGACACACGGAAGTGAGGTCCCACAAAGGCCTCAGTGGCCTACAAGTGGGTGGAAGCTGCCCCTGGAGACAAGCAGACAGCAAAGCAACCTGCTGGTGCCAAAGGAAGCTGATCCCGGCTGGGGTTTTGTACCCAGTGTCAGTCACCTTCTATATGCACACTCCAATAAGTGGTGCTAGGCACAGCTGTTGCTTGGAATGGAGTAGCATGGAGAGAGCTGAGGGTGGCTGTTTCTCCCAGATGTGTGTGCTCTGCCACAGCTGACACAGGAGGATAGGGCTAAGGACCTCAGCTTTGTCAGGCTGTGAAAAATAAGAGGACTTCATGTTCCAGAGTTACCCAGTCCCCAGTCTGGACTCAGTCCTTCCAGCCACTCTGGGATCCTCATGTACCATATCTGTAAGTCTCCAGACCTATAGGCTTCCTGTCACTCTAGAACCCAGCACCCACCTAGACATGTGCAGGCCCTGGACACTCCCCAAGGGCATCTTCCGTCCTTGAGCCAGCAGTGGTCAGACCACCTGTGTCCTACAGCTCCCTGGGTATAGGGCCTGCCCTACTGTGTGCCTGCTCTGTGTTCACAAGGGGACTAAAGTGACAGAATTTTGTAGGTGTGGCTGCTTGAGGACCCTGAGGTGAGGGTAGCCCTAATTATCAGGGACCCCAGATGTGATCATATTGTCCTGAGAAGAGGGGGGCAGAACGGTCAGAGTCCAGAGACCAGGAGGAGAAATGGTCAGGGTGCAAGAAGCCAGCAATGCTGGTTGTGAAGATAGAGGATAGACACATTTTAGAGTGTGGCCTTTGTGGCAAGCCTGAAGACACCTGGCCCTGGCCACGGGCACAGTGTTGTAACCTGAACTGACTCTGCAGAAAGGGCACAATACTGACTCATGGCCTTGTGTCTTGTGCTGTCTGCACTGTCCTGGGTCTGTGCTCAATGGGGACTCTGGCTCTCTGGGAAGTGGCTTGTCACAGAGGTGGCTTCTCTTGTCTCGCATGCACTGGCAGCATGGTGCCTTCCCATTTCCCCCTTCTTGACAAGCCCCTCTCCATCCAGGCTCCTGCATTGCTCCCACGGAGACCATGACCACCCACCACCACCACCACTCTGCGCCCTGGCCAAAGCCCCTTGGGTAGGCATGTTTCTTGCTCCTTCACACAGGGTCGCCCTTTGTGAATCCCAGAAACTCTGGCCACCTCAGCTTATACTAACTGCAAAATGTGACTTTCCCTCACCAGGAGGGAACTAAGGCTCTGTGACATTGAGGGGGTCTTCCTGCTAGGCAGACCAGGATGAGTGCATGAAGGCCCCAGCCACTGACACTAGGCCCTTTCACTTCCACCTTTGCCTGAACTGCTGGTGAAACCAGAGGGCTCTGTGACTGGTCCTTATTGTCTAGGGAGGAGGGTCTGCTAGGAAGCCTCTGAAACAGAAGCAGCACACCTGTGGGTAGCTAGAGGCACTCCTGGTTGGCGGTCACGCTGACCTCCAGGACACTAGGTGGCCAGGCCAAAGCTGGACAGCACGGTGCTTTAGGACAGGTGTGTGTATGCATGCCTGTGTGTTGGCTAGTCTTCAAGAAAGGCTCTGAGGACCATGTGTCCCATACTGTGAGGTCCCCTCGCCTCGAATCTGGAGTGGCCTGGGATTTCAGATGCATCTGAATAGACACTGAACCCCTGGCTGGCTGGGCTGAAATGTGTGCAGAATGTAAAAAACAGCCAGAGACAGGAAGTCGCAGATTCTCTCAAACAGACAGGGGGCAGTCCAGGTCATGTCAGTCTCTATCTGGGCTAGGGCCTTTCCTCTTCTGACTTGTTTTGAGAAGTCTTTTTCCTCCTCTCCCTACCGTATGGCTCCCCAGACTTGGGGAGGCTCCCCAGGCTGGGGTTGTTACTAACCTGGAACGAGCACCCGCTCGACTCACCTATCTGTACCACGAAGCCCTCCTCCATCCTACCCAGTTCTCATCCGCTTTATGCAGGCTGGTTGACAGCGCCGCCCGAGAGAGCCGCACTCTGCAGGTGCTACCTGGGTGCTGTGGTCCGCCCTCCGGCCCGCCCCGCGCGTGAACTGGGCATGCCCAGAAGTGCGTAGACGCGCCCGTCAGCTCCGGTCGGAGGAAGGCTCTGCTCCGCGCCACCATGGAGCGCGTCGAGGGGGTGTCCGTGGGCTTCTGTGCCCACTCGCCTTACCTGCGGCCTCTCACGCTGCATTACCGCCAGGTGATCCGCCCCGCGCGCGCCTCTCCGCGCTCACCCTCAAGCCCCCACCCCCGCCATGCGGCCCTGCCCCCGGGTTTGGCCCCCGCCCCCGAGCTCCTGCCTCCGCCCGGAGCCGGTTCTCTGAGCTTGAGCTCCGCCCTCCTGCAGTCCTGAGCGACGGTTTTCAGACTCGGTCTGTGCCGAATGGCCAGGGAAGGCTTCGCGAGGAGAATCTTTTCTCCAAGGCAGAATAACTGGCCCTCCGTTTCTGACCGCCCATCGATCCCTTTATGCAGTTGAACCCAATGGTTACCCTGGGTATCAGGGCTGGAAGAACTCTTGGAAAAGAAGCCCACCTTTGGAGACACCCATTTTTGTGCCTTCCTTCTAGCGTCTCCTTCAAGCCTTATCAGAAAGGCTACTACTGCCTTGAAGAAGCCTTTCCCAGTTTCCAGGTGTCGCCCAGAACAACAGGGCCATACTAGCTATCTCACATAGTACTGTGGGGCACAGAGTGGGCTCAGAAACATTTGTTGAGCCTAGTTGCTGCCAGCGCTCTCTCCTCTCACCGTATGGTCTTCCAGCAGGGTGGTCCCTGTCCTCCACCCTGCATGGGCCTGTCTTGTAGGCCCCTGCCTTTTCCTGGCACATTGCCTATTTCCATCCTCCATGCTTTCTGATAGACACTGCTTTCCTGACCCCATCAGTGTAGCCCTGACTAGGTTTCAGCCCAGATCAAACCACCCAGGGCTTGGTGTTTGCCCACCACTCCCACCCTCCCTGTTACATCTGTTCCTCTGACCAGCGTTGTGGCCCCAGCCTGAAAATCCCTTTGGCCCCTACAGTTTACTGTACAGAGGTCCTTTCTGCCCACCCACCCCAGGATAGAGAATTCCCCACCCAGAGTGCAGCCAAAGGTACCACAGGCTTGGGGGAACATTTGGGTTCAGTTGAGGAACAAAGGGTCAGGACAGGAGGATCACATTTCTTTTCCCTTTCACTGGCTGGTGACATGGGCTGTTCGGACTCAGGACCTGGGGCTCTGGTGGGCAATGGGGGGAGCAGGGTGGTCCAGGCTGGTTCTGCTATGGCCTGTGATAGCAAGCACTCCCTCACTTCCTGGGAAGTGTTGTGGGGTGGTTTTGCAGCCTTGGCTGGCAGCCCACCAGCACATTTCCGCTGATGGTGTTGGTAACCAGAGCTCAGCTGAGCAGGCGGCAGCCGTAGTCATGGCTGGGGGGCCAGGCGGCATTTCCTCAGGAGCTGAGGGATAGTGGGCTGGGCTGGGTTTGCCATGGGTAGTGATCTGCAGTCTTTAACTGACTGCTGCTCCTGACCAAAAGCAAGGACCCCATGGCCCTATGTAGCATGTGTCCACCGCTATGTTCTGGTGCTCTCTCCCCCTCCCAGTGCTAATGCCAGCGTCTCTGCCCCTTCCCACAGCGCTGACAGAATGTTTGACCTTGAGTCAAGAGGGTCCTTTGAGGTCACAAAAGGTGATACTTACCTGCATGGAAGCTGTGGGGGTAGGCAGGACAGGCTCACAGCAGCCTGGGCGGGCAGCCTTCTTTGGAGCCTGCCTGGGTGGCTGGATGTCGGGCAGGCCTGGGCTCGCCTCTCAGGTGGTGCTTCAACGGCCTCCTGGGCAGCCTGACCTGCCCAGGACATTGGCTCTCTTCTCCCCCTGGAAACCAGGCTGCCGCTGCCCTCCCAGGTAGCTCTGCCTGCAGGCTCAAGTCAGTCTTTCTGATCTGGGCCTCCACCGTGAGGCATTCTTGCCAGTAGCAGTGGCTTTCCCGCCTGTAGACCAGCATGAGGAAGCCCTTGCAGCTCTTCCTCAGTGTCCTCCCTCTTTGTTGCCGCAACACACGCTGTCTCTGGGGCACAGGCCCTGTCTATTTTGCAGTTTGGATGGAGCCCCAGCATCTGTGGTAGGCTGGCTGGGGCTCGTGAATGACCCCGAGGTGGTCGTAGGGTTAAAGGGATTCTAGGTCCAGCCCCACAGCAGAGACCCTGGATGCCTCTGCTGACTCCAGCCCCCGGAGACAGCCTGTCTTTCCAAGTGGCATCTTGATGATGGGAATGGTGGGGGCCTTCCTAACCTTGTATACAAAGCACCGTTGGCATCCTTTCTGGCTGCCCTGTACTGCAGGCCCCACCTTCTCTGTTTCCTGAGTGCTGCATGGATCTAGGGAGCCTGCCCTCCATGCAGGAGCAGCAGGACTAGGGGATGTGTAAGAGAGAGCCTGAGCCTGAAACAGGGTGGGGCTTGCAAGCATTCACCATCCGTCTGCTCTCACCAGGTCCACAACTGCAGTGTAAGCTGTCCATTGGCCCAAGGGACCTTCAGCAATGAAAGCTGACTTCTGCTCTGCCCACCTGACTCCTCCCTGCCCTGCCTAAGGTGTCATGTCTGCCCTTCCTGTATCCTCCTGCTTCCTTCTCACACTTGGTGGCAGCATAGGTCTCTGTAGCCCTTCGTGCTCATGAAATGCCTTTCCATTCCCAGAACTCTCCTGACCTCCGGGGCAACCTTCTCCACCTCCACCTGCTGCAGGTCTCCGTTCCTGATGGGTGTAGGCAAGTAGCAGGCCTCCCTGCAGCTGCTACAACGAGTCTGTCTGGCCCATGTACCTCCATCTGTTGCTGACAGCCACTCACTCTTCCTGATTGCTACCTCGTCTCTTCCAGGATGGTATCCAGAAGTCCTGGGACTTCATGAAGACACATGACAGGTGAGAGGGGCAGGCCTGGCCACTGGGGAGCTCCCCAGCTTCCGATCTTGGTGTCTTCAAACAACTCCCACCTCAACCCGGGCTCTGGTTCTCATGTCCCTGAGGCCTGTTGACTAAGTCAGGCAGTAGTAGGGGACATGGGGCCCCTGGTGGCAGGTTGGTCCTCTTAGAGCTGAAGGGATCTGGAGCATGGAGGTGTGACAGTTGGGAAACCGGCCAGCAGGGGCCTCCACTTTCCCAGCTGCCCAATATGTTGTCTCCCCTGCCCCTGTCCTGTGAACTGGAACATGGCCTGATTTTGTGGCCTGTCAAGGAGAGGAAAAGAAGGGGAGGATGGAGACTGGGGCTCTGAGAGGGGAGTGTGTCTTCACCGAGCTCTGTTCCCCATGTAGTGTGACCATTCTCATGTTCAACTCTTCTCAGAGAAGCCTGGTGTTGGTGAAGCAGTTCCGGCCAGGTGAGACTAGCAGGGTGAGCAGGAGTTGGGAACGGGGGATTGCAGTGTGCTTTCAGGCCCTTGGTCCTGACGGTCTGGGTGCTGATGCAGTGGTGGCTGTAGGGGAAACTGAGGTCCAGCAAGAGGTGCCTGGCCCAGGGTAGATTGCTCTAAGGTCATTACCATGTGGCGGTGCTCCCCACCCCCCCAGCTGTATATGCAGGCGAGGTGGAACGCCACTTCCCAGGATCTCTGGCAGCTGTGGACCAGGACCAGCCCAAACAACTTGAGCCAGCACTGCCTGGCTCAGTGGGAGTGATGGTGGAACTGTGCGCCGGCATTGTGGACCAGCCTGGGCTCTCACTGGAAGAAGTGGCCTGCAAGGAGGCTTGGGAAGAGTGTGGCTATCACCTGGTCCCCACTGATCTGCGCAGAATTGCCACATACATGTAAGGAGCTTGGCAGGGTGGAATGCTGCCAGGTGTGGTCCAAGGGAGGAGACTGGCCATCAGGGAGTGGGCGAGACCTCCCTAGGGGTGTACAGACATGGGACTGAAAGAGGATTGATGGACCATGCCTTGGCTCCTGGGATGGTCCAGACCTGGGGCCTTTGGGCTGGTTCTGAAGCATGCTAACCCTGTGCCCCTACCCTGCAGCCCCAGCCATGTGGGGTTGGGCTCCGGGTGGCAGCTGCTGCCGACAGATGCCCCACTTCCTGTGGGATTAAGCACCGGGCGCTGGGGGTGGGGTGAGTCACAGCTCTGTTCTCAGCCGGTGGCTCAGGAATGAGGGAAGGACAAGTCCTGGGGAGGGGAAGGAGGAGGGACTACCCCTACTGAAGCCCAGGTGCCAGCCACTCATGTCTCCCTCAGGCTGCCAACCAGGGCTTTCCTCAAATGGAAAGCCACTCCTTGCCTCAGGGTGCCCGTCACCCCCACCAACACCAACAATGACAAGGCTGCATACCTCCAACCAAGAAGAACAGAGTCCCTGGCACCTCTTTCCTGGCACACTCCACATGGCCAGGGACCTCCTGCCTCCATCCCTGAGGACCTCACCTGTGTACCTAGCTGTGGTTGGACCATGTTAGATCCGGAGTGTTGACCATCTTGCCTCTGAAGGGCTGGCTTGTACCCAATGCTGTGTCCTCCATGTGGACAGCCAGCAATGCCTGATCCTTCAGCTTCCAACATGGCAGTGCTTAGGGCAGGGGGAAGGAATCTAAGGAGGCTGACCTTGATTTGTTTGGCCAGTGTCGGGGACAGACAGGGATGGAGGGCAGGAAGGAAGTTAGCCTGGGGGTGTGGGGAGCGATGTCCTGGCAGATGTTTGAGGACAGGGAACCTTGTCTTAAGAGGTTTCCTAGGCAGAGCCTCTGGGCTGTGTCCTGACTGGAGAAGATATTAGAGAGCCAGTGAGCGTTCTGGACAGTGAACATCCTCCCCGTATTTATTCTTTGAAGAGGAGGATGTGGCTGTGAGGAAACGTGACTGAGGGTTAGGCTAAGTGAAGGTCAGAGCACCTGTCCCTGTGGGACTTACTGGGACTGAACAGACCTGACCCATGTACTGGTTCCCTGCCCAAGACCAAAGAGGTAAGCCAGTCCACTCCCTTGATAGCCCATAGATGACTAGACCCAAGGATAGCAAGGGTGCCTTGTGATATGAATGAGATTAGAACCTGCCTAGGCTGGAGGCAGCCTCTAGCCTGACCAGAACACAGGCTGGAGATGTCTCCTTCATAAGCTGGGGAAACGGAGGCTGGAGGCTATACAGACTGGCTGATTTCAGTCCCAGGTGCAGCCATGACTACCAGGAAAATGAGCCATCAGGTCAGGGTCTGTGGGGACAGCGGTAGCTGCACATGGCCAGTCTCAGGTTAGGGTCCTCCCCGTGGGGATTGGGAGGCCTTGAGTATTTCCCAGCTCTGCCCCTGCCTCCATGAAGTGTCCTGCTGAGAGATTCCTTACCTCTACCACCTGTCTGGACCTGTATTGGAATTCTGTCCTTTGTGTGGGGAGGCCTTCAAGCTCTACCACCACACCCAGTCCATGGCTCCCCAGGCAATCAGAAGCCCCCGATGTAGGTGGGGCTGGCTTGGGCCTTAGCGTTATGGGAGTCAGAGGCCCTGTTTGGGTACGGAGGGTGTCGTGAGCAGGGGCCTAGGGGAGTCCAAGGGCCTGTCACAGACTCTAGAGCTTGCTCGTGACCTCATGGCCTTTGTATATGCACAGTGTGCCTCCAGGGTCCTTGTTCTTCCACTCAGGGTCTCATAGCTGCATTCAGAGCTGCCAGTGACATCCATGACCCATCCAGGTGCAAAGGTGGCAGAATCTAACTCCTTGTGGCTCTGGGATAGAGGCCTTTTCCTGACTAGCTGATAACCAGGAACGGCTTTCAGATGGTGATGCCCGCAGGTCCCTGTTGGCCACGTGTGTCCTTACAACACAGCAGCTTGTCTAGGCTCTGGTTAGAGCCTGGAGCTGTCTTGTGAGCTCACGTGATCAGGCCGGGCCTATCCATGTGTCTCCCTTGGGATGAATTCAGTCAGGTAGCCGGACAGGGTCCTGGGTCTATGATCTACATAAGACATTCTTTTTGGTTTCCCCTAGATGTCAGTTATCATATTCATCTTGAAAGTTGGATGGTGAGCCTAGCATTTGGTGGCTGAGCCATCTCTCCAGCCCAATTATCAAATTCATCTTAAAAATCACTTCAGTGCCCTTTGTGTCTCTTTCCTAATTGGTGTGAGGCCCCACCTCTGTCATATGACAGCCTAGTGACAGGAGGCATGCCCAACATACATGAGGCTCCCCCACTGTAGGGGCCAGACTACCTGGAGGTGCCTACCAGGAGTCGTGTTTGGGAAGGGTGAAGCTACTCAGAAAGCCAGAGAGAGAAGCATTGGAGCAGGGTGGCTGCAGGGCCACCATGGTATCTCAGCATTTCCTGTTCTACCTGGCAGGTCCGGAGTAGGACTCACTGGCTCCAGGCAGACCATGTTCTATGCGGAGGTGACAGATGCTCAGCGCAGTGGCCCTGGTGGAGGCCTGGCCGAGGAGGGAGAGTTCATCGAAGTTTTGCATCTGAACTTGGATGATGCCCAGACCTTTGCAGACAACCCTGACATTCCCAAGACCCTCGGTGTCATCTTCGCTATCTCTTGGTTCTTTAGCCAAGTGGTTCCTCACCTGAGTCTCCAGTGAGCTCTGGGACTGGACAGGCTGCTCCATCCATTCCTCCCCTCCTGCCCTGTGCACTCAATAAAGCTTGTATTTTTACTGATAGCCGCTGGCTTTGAGCTCTGTGACCTGGGTGAGGACCAGTGTCTTGAAGGATATCAAGTTCTCCATACAAACCCCTCTGTTCCTCTACGGACTGTGCAAGTGGATGCTGTGGGAGCCTGTCAGGGAGCTGGCACAACAAGCCTGGGGTGCTGTTGGTGGAATAACCAGCTCAGAAGGGGACCAGGCTAGGTGTTCAGCCTTGGATGGGGCCCTTATTCACATAAATAACATGAGCTGTGTCCACTAGAGTAGAGACTTGAGCCGGGCCTCTATTGAGAAGAAATGGACACAGTACTGTCCATCCCAGAATGTGTACTCCCTGATCTGGGCAGATACAGGGTCCTTGCCCTGCTTGGGGCTGGGCTAGAACCAAACTGCCACTGCCCAGGAACCCAGAGCCAGTGCTACTCTGTATCTGCTGTCTCCGGGGACCTCACTTGGCCTGGAGGACATAAGTAATATCACAGGATAGGTTCGTGATGGGGATCCAGGGCAGTCATATTGATGTGGGCAGCCTGGTCCTTGCACAGAACCGCCTCAGGGCTGTGTCAGCTCAGAGTGCTGTAGGCCTTGCTCCCTGGCCTGAGGGTGAGGCTACATGAGAGGTATGCAGGTAGCTCAGAGCCACCCACAGGTCTCCAGAGTACCGAGCAAGAGAGAAGAGCACTCTGTTCCACCTAGCTGGCTGCATGGGCCACAGGCACATATTTAGGGCTCCTCTGTGAATGGTGCCCTGGGCAGTATCACTCAGATCTGTTGGTTGGTCCATCTGAGAGTAAGGGCGCGCTTCAGAAGAGTGGCACAGCTGTGTCCAGTCAGCATCTTCTATGACTTCCTGGGCGTCAGTCAAGGTCATAGCCCACTGATTTCCACTCCCCCCTCCCCGAAGGCTGTGAGGTATCCTGGAGGGATCCCCCCTCCTGTTAGTCAGTACAGTGGAGCTCAGGTGATGAGCCATCTATGAGGGTGTCCTGGGGCTCTGTGTCCCAGGGACCTCTTGGATGAGGCCGGGAGCTGAAGTGTTGGAGTCCTAATTGTAGACATTGAGATAGACATGCTGAGCTGGGTGGGGTGTCCTCTGTCCTCTTACTGTCCTCTGCTCTGGAAGATGAGGGGCACTGACTTCAGACTTCACCCCCTCCCAATGCCCCAGGTGGGTGTGACATTGAGGCACCACCCAGAGGAGGCTGTGACATGTAGGCTGCTCAGGTAGCACCACCTGTATGCAAATGTTTGCAAGCAATTTAGGTGGGGCCCAGCCAGACAAGCAACACAGCCTTTAGCAAAGGGTCCAGAGGTGTGTGTTGTGTGTCCAGCAGCTGACTACGGGGTGACCCAGCTCCACTCTGATGTTCTTGGGACAGGAGTCTACACAGACCCTGCCATCTATGCCCTGCTCTGACTTTCTGCAGCTGCCTGACGCCCACCAATGGAATGCCCTCAGGTGTTTGCTGTCTGAGGGACTGCTAATGGGCACTGAGCAGGGGAGGGCTCTGCGGCCTGAAGGATGAGTTAGGAGTCAGGGTACCTGGGCTTGGGTAAAGTCCAATGCCTCCCTCAGATCTGCAGCCTGACGGGCAGGTCAGCAGGCACCATTGCTGGGACTAATGGAGCTGGCATCGATTTCCCGGCTTGGGGTGGGGGGGCTGTAACCGGAAACTCCCCTCCCTGGCCGCTATATTTAGCATCACAGGACATGAGCGGAAGCATAGCTCACTTGGGAGCCCAGCCAGCTCTGTCCAAATCCTGGGCTGCCTCGTCCCAAGGCTCCCCTGTGCCTGTCCAGCTCAAGCTAAGCACCCGTTTAGAACATGTCTAGACCCCTTAGTGCTAGGGTTCTTGGAGCCAGCAGGTGGGAGAGCAAAGGGGGTCACGCGTAGTGGGTGATGCAGGCCTTCCTGAAAAGGCATAGCGGCTGACCCCATGGGGTCAGGTCCAGGATCCGGAGCCCCCAGGTACACTGGGAGCAGCATGAAGGCAAGCGTAAGATTTGCAGGGTGTGAGGCAACAGTTTTTGACATGATCTCCAGAGGAGGGTCCTTCTCAATTCGAGTGGCCGCCTTTCACACTGTGAGCACTCCCCGGTCACCACCAGACAAGATTGTGGCTCCCAGAAGACAGGAGGAGGGCACCACTATGGGGGTGACACCTGCCATGTTCAGGTGTCACCCAGATAGTGAATGCACTGCCCTAACAGTCACCAGCTGTTCTGGCCTGGGGGTCCAGGTCCCACTCACAGAGGGCCTGGGTAGACAGGAAGGGCAGACCCACATCTCCCTGCTTTCCAAGGCACGCGGTGGACAGACCCCCACTACACACACAGCACAGCTCTGAGTGGGGGCAGGGCAGGGGCTAGGCTGAGCAGACAGCTACACTCAGCCCATGCCAGCATGCTGTGGCTCTGCCTGCTGGCCTGCCCCCCTACAGCTGGCTGACCACAGGAAACAGGGAGATACACAGGGAGGGGCTGAAGGGTCTCCCTGGGTTCTGTTTCTTGCTAAACTCCCTCTCCTTAGCCCCTGCATGCCAGTCACTGTCCTAGGCACCGGTGACTCTCAGCAGCACCATGGCATTACCCAGACGGCCCCCTGCACCCCTCCGTGCCACAAGCAGGGTCTTAGTGAGAATGTAAGTCAGCGTGTGACAGCCCAGCCCCTGCTCCTTGTGAATTCTCCTCAGTGTCCACAGGAAGATGCAGCAGGCCACCGCCTTGGTTTGGCTATCGTGTCCTCGAAAGCTCGTCATGTCCTTTCAGCCCCAGAACCTTTTCCTCACCTTGCTGGCCCCACCCTCTGGGTTTCACGGCCCCCTCCCACCTGTTTTTAGACTCTTATGGTTTGCTGGTCTATAATATATGTCTAAGCCATCACACACCTTTAGACAGAGGTCTCTGCAGCTAGGCCAGGGCTGTGGCCACCCAGTTCACAGCTTGGCTGAGTGCCTCAGAGAAGTGGTGAACACGGGCAAGGTGGAAGCTAAGGCTGTCTGTCCTCTGTGGCCTGCTGTCTCGAGGCCAGAGGGAGGGTGAGGCCGAATCACCTGAAGGAATGCATCTTGAAGGATGCAAATGACAGGAAGACTCTTAACACTCTCCAGTTCCCTTATTTGTTGGGGGCCTCCGTGTGTAGCCAAGCCCGGCTTGTATCCAGCCCCTCACCTACCCTACCTGCCTGTGGGCTCCCTGGTACTCCTGAATGGAGCAGGAACACCGCAAGAATGCGAGATGCTGACCAACCCTTCTAGGCCTGCTGCTTCTGCAGAAGGCGATCCTGAGGGCCATTAGACAGCAGTAGGGCAGGTGAACGGGACCAAGGCGTTTCCAGGCCTCTGCTCCTGGTGGAGGCTGCCTGGCACTGCCCAGGAGAAAGGGAAGTACCCCTGACCCAGTTTCCTTCTACCGTGCCTCTGACTCACCAGAATCAGAATCCCCCATGTCTTCTGTCTGACAGTGTCTTGGTCCAGTAGGAAAGACCAGGGAGAGGGTCCTTTCGGGGAAAGGATAGCCCAGCTGCTGTGGGGTTTTGAAGGGTAGGGTAACACGCCATCACCCCGAGTGTGGGCATTTCCAATCACTGAGGTTACCTCACTGGAAAGGGCGGTGTAGAAGAGAGGGAGTCTGCAGACGAAGAGCCCTTGGTATTGACACGGGGAGGAGGTGATCGCCTAGCAACAGGGTCAGGAGATGGTAGTGGAGGGCTGGGACACCCACGCCTTGTGACCAAGACTACCAGACAGCTGGAAAATCCTCCTTGGGTAGCTCTTTTGACACGGACCACTGTCTTTCATGCCCGTTTCCTTTTCCCCAAGTTTGGAGCTCTGGCCAGCCACGTTCCTTGAAGATAAGAGTCTGGCGAGGGCTACCTCCACCTCAGCTCCGAATGGAGCACAGCCTGCAGAATGGAGCATTTGTTGACTGGCTACCCGACCTGTGCGCTTGCAGGGAGGGCTAGAGGGGAGTAGCGCCCCCTGTAGCCGGCGTGGAAGCGACAGGAGGCTGCGGAGCGGTGGGAGGGTGGGGGGAGATTCCTCGCGGGAAGGGGGCGCACCAGGAGTTGGGCGCACTAGGGTCCCAGGGCCCCACCCGCTCTGCGTGAGACAGAGGTACAGCAGGCGGCATCTCCTTTGGGACCAAGAGCAGCGCGAGAGTGGCTGCGGTCTGATGGGAGGAGACCACGGAGGTGACCTCAGGGGGCGCCCCACTACCAGGCTGTTAACCCGGGCGAGAATTCTGGAGCAGAAGCAGCCCCACCTCAGCGAGCCTGAGCACAGGAGAAGCCACAGCCCGGTGGCCCTGCGCCCCGCCACCCGGAGCACAGACCGCGCCCTCGCCTCCTTTAAAGCCAGGGGCGCCCCTGGCGCCCCCCCAACGGCCCCACCCCACTGCGAGGCCCCGCCCTCTCATGCATATGCAGGTGCGCGGGTGACGAATGGGCGAGCGAGCTGTCAGTCTCGTCCCGAACTTGTTGGCTGCGGTGCCGGGAGCGCGGGCGCGCAGAGCCGAGGCCGGG